TCCTTAGCTTCATGAATCGATTTTGAAAAATCGGTTTCTCTATAATTTTTGAAGTACTAAATCAATTAGTTTATTTCTGTAATAACATTATCAAGATGCATATACTTTGATTGTAACTTTTTACTCACAATATTCACATGGTTTAATACTTCATACCTGATAACAATTGATACCAAAAATTCAAAGTCATTAAGTTCTTTTTCTGCCAGTGAAGTTGCTTCACTTGCAATTGCAACATCATTATCTTTCTCTCCAACTTGAAGTAAAGTTTCCCGTACATCAATAAGTTGCAGTTTAATAGCCTTTACACTCTCAACCTGGCTTTCCCAACGAGTTTGACACAATTAATTACGACTCCAATCTTTAACATTATCTTTCAAAATTTCCCACCTCTTAGTAGAATTTGCAAATATAGTATAAGTGTGTTGGATGAGTCCAAAATAACTCTTTCCTTTAACACACTTGTTAGCCATATCACATAATTTAGATTAACATAATGGAAACCACAAGGAGTGTAAAATGCTCTAGGATTTAGATTAAAAAATCTCTTTTGCACTCCTTGATGTTTTCTTTTCATGTTATCTCCATTATCATAGCCTTGACCATACATATCATTAAGTTCAAGACCAAGGGACTTTAACTCCTTAAGTATAATATCAAATAGTCCTTTTGCGGTGGTATCATCAACATTCAAAAAGCCAAAAAATGACTCCTCGACAGTAACAAAATTATATGATAACTTTAAATACATCACTATTATAGTCATCTGTTCTTGGTGACTTGAATCGGAAGTACAATCAAGTATGATTGAGTAGTACTTTGCTTCCTTTATCTTCTTGATAAGTTATTTTTTACTTTTTTGAGCTATCAAAAGTATTAATTTGTTTTGGATCGTGTGCCCAAGATAATGCACATGAAGCTCATCACTTGTGATTCGCCGCACATGGTCTTTGATAACCGGGTCAAACTCTTCCAAAATTTCAGTGACACCCAAAAAATTTCCACTACCTGTTAAATACAATTAACAAATAAGAATTGGAATCAGTCATAATAATTAACAAAAAGGTATTTGGTGGAATTGGATTGAAAAATATACAATTTATAGTTATCTTTTTATATCATTTTTCATTTGATCCACGAAATGCTAAATTATGTTTAGCAAGAAATGCCACTACTTAAATGATTCTCAAAATGACTTGTTTCCAGTAATCGATGTCTTTCTCGAATTGCTCATATTGAACTTTATCAATTGTTTCATTCAAGTTCAATCTTTTATGCATATCAAACCACTTCTTCCTGTTTGTGAGATGATGCAAGGAAATTTCGTGTTCTTTAACTCTATTGGTAACATGGTGCCAATCTGAATAACGTTCATCACCCAATTTACTTTTCGAAACCCCTTTTCTAAACACTTTAAAACAAAAACAAAATACTTTGTCAAACTCTTTCGAATATACTAGCCATTTGCTATATCACTTCTCTAAATTTGATAAAGTTCTTGTATATAACGCTGCAAAATATCGTCTACCATTTTTATCGTAGGGACCATAAATAATGCTAGTATCTATTTTAGGATCTTTCTCGACCAAAAGTTTTATCTCCTCATAATTATGTTTTTCCCACCTTCTTGGATTACATATATCAACATGCTCTTTAATGGGCTCTTGCTCTTCTGCCTCTTCTACTACTTCTTCTACATGACATTGCTCTTTTACTACTACTTCTACATTCTCTTGCTCATTAAAAAGATCTTGAACATGATCTTCAACAGGTTTTCTATGGATAAACTTATCTAGAGCACCAACGTCAACATTTCTCTTTTCTTCATCTAGTTTTCTCTTGTTACGTTTTTAACTACCGGATGGTTGTTTAGACTTCATCTACAAATTCAATAATCAAGAGTTTTAACTTTCAACATTCAACTTACATCAACATATAAACATAACTGATAATCTCATAATCTAATTTCAATTTCTATTAAACAATTAACGTATTCTGATTACTTATAATCTAATTTTTGATTTCATCATTCATTAACGTTTTTTGATTTCTCATAATCTGATTTCTGATTTCATCATTCATCATTCACTAACTATAATCTGATAACATTCACGTTATGATTTCTGATTCAAAATTCAGTGGAACAATCTAATTCAATTTCTGATGAGTAATTCACTAATTCTAATTAGTAATTTTTGATAAGTAATCAAATTTGATCATGTGATAGTGTGATACCGTGATTCAGCATTTAATATTTCAAACATAAAACAAAGATAACTGATAATTTAATGATGAATGATCGATTGGAACAAAAATAAAACAAGAAAAGTGGAATAATCAACCAATATACCGTTGCCGCCCTTCTCACATTTTGGTTTCTGATATCTGAATGAATAATGATTCACACTCGACAGAATCACAGAAAACTTGAAATATTCGAATTGTCCCTACTCCTTTGTTGCTCGCTGATGGTTATATTATACAAACTATATACAATCGTCGCTCACACTCACAGAATACTTGACAAAACTACAGAAGTGGGTCTCATCTCTGGACTGTTAGACGTCTGTTGGACTGGTGGAGCTTAGCATTTGGGCTTGGATTTTTTATTACACATAATATAGGTCAAAAAAAATTGGGCCCCTAAAAAAATAGCCCTGTGCACAATCCCTTGTTGCCAACCCCTATCACCGGTCATATCATTGTGGACCCCAGTGGATCATCATGTGCTCGATTGGTTGTCAAAAAAGAGGAGCGAAGGTCTTAAAAGTTACACCTAAGTTATCAGGTAGGAAGACAATCGTGGTTGTATGTTTGCTTCATTTACTTTAATGGTGGATATCTTGTGCTATGTGACAAGTGGTAATGGTGATTGTGGCAATTGATAAATGTGTTTGTATTTCAGACATGGCAAAAAATGTCAACGATTAGTTTTGTGAACTATAATATCGAACCATTACTCCATTAGTAATATAAAAAAACAGACAAAAACAAACAAGCCGACAAATTGTATTAAGAATTAAATGTAGATTCGTCGTAAATAATAAATTAAATTCAGATTGATTCTATACGTTCATATCTGGTTATAAGAAGTAGAAAAATATTATTTCATTATTGGACAAATTAAAATACATAACAAAAATAAAATTAAAACGAACCTGGAGATCGAAGTTGCTTAATCGGTAGCTGAACAGAAGAAATCTCGCCCTTAAAGGTTTTTTTGTTGCTCACTGGTTGTAAGCTTCAACGTAAAATCCTATGATCTAATGCATATTGTCATTCTTTCCAACACCCAAGGAAGAACTAATAAGCATAACAAACACTTGGAAATGTGGAAGAACGACGAATTCATAACAGCTTGCTTGTTGAATTCACAAAAAAGAGAAGAGAGCAAAGAAGATCTCAATTTTTTGATGTGTAATAAATGAGACATGATATTTCCTATTTATACTAATCTAAAAACTGTAGCATCTCCTAAAAAAATCGAATTGTTAACGACGACACCTGACCTGCGCCAGGTTGGCACATGACACATCATTAACCAGATAAAATCTTGGGAGTTGGCATCATTATTTGAAAGGTTTTGGAAGGTTTTTGGTGCTTATCCACGAAGTTAATGCATATTGTCAACTATGAGCGGGTTGGTCCAACCCGATCTGATCGGAACCCTACTAAAAATAAAAGCTCCCCAACTCCTAGAGACGACGCGATCTTGTACAGTGCAAAGTGCATCTAAATCACGCCATTTTGCAAACCTCACATCTCGCATTCACGACTTAACTTGGTGGATGTGTGGACTTAACCCATCCTTTAACCCCACTAAAGCATGGGGATGGTACGATGTGTTTTGAAGTTTAACATATAAGGGAAAGAAAAGAAGGGGAAAAAAGGAGGAGACCGGAAAGATATTGTATTTTCATGTTTTCAAATTTGAAAGAAATCAAATGAAAATAAGTACTTTATGTGTTCCTAAGTCGAAATGAAAATAAACACTTTGTGTGCAACACTTTCTAGCGTTAACAACTCAAATCTTCAATACCAAATTTGTTGGTGAACATAAGCACAATTTTCTTGGCGATTAGGAAGTTACTAAGAGCGAAAACTTAGAAAATTAGTACTATTTTAGACACAGAAAATCAAAGTATTCAAGTTGTGGTTTGGGTGGGTCGTGATTGTTTAGACGATTTAACCATACATATGACAACGATTACAAGGAAGTTAAAGAGGATTTTGCAGTGATACCTAATAGTAGATTGTATAATACAATAGAAGTTATAGTCACAAAAAATTAGGTGTTTATCAATAAGTTTCTTGTGGTTTTATGTACCCAAAGTAATATTACAATAAGTAATAAATGTATATAAAGTACCATCAAAAGTATTTTGTGTGAAAAATGTCCATCTCTTTCAACATATAAGTAAGAAAATGAAGGGGGGATGTAAATAGGCCTTCGCTTAACAAAATTAACCGTTAAACAATGTATTAATAAAGCAGCACCAGCGCTTTAGATATAATAGCATTGTACTTTCAATTCCATTATTTATGTTATACTTACTTAACAACAGTTATTTATGTGGTTAGGATTAGGATGTGGGTTTTGGTTTGTAGAATATCAGAGGCATTAAAATTTGTTTTAAGATAAAAAAAAATTATATAAAATCCTTTCTTGTTTGCTATTTGATTTGCATAATTGTTAAAAAAAATAGTATAAAAAAGTTCAAGTGTTCATGTTCTAAAAGTCAAATTTGAAAAAAAAAAGGGAGGATTAATAGCCATACAAATAATCCACAACTATGATAATGTTGTTAATGCAGTGTGTGTAGAGCTAAACTACAATGGGAGTACTCACTCGAACTTCTGAAATCAACCAAAGTTGTAGCTAATAACTCATGACTCACAAATTAAACACCCATCAACCTACAACTTAAATGTCAAAAAAAAAAACCTAAAACTCAAACAGACTAAACACATCAAACTGTTCCAGTTGTATCACCTAGACTCTAGACTGGACTATGTAAACAAGAATCCGATATGGAAGTTGAAAGCATGCAAGACTCCTCATTCGGAGTAGCCATCTTGAGCGTCATCCTATCAACTGGCCTGAAAATGTAAAACATCAAGATACAGAAGACAAGAATGCTGGTCTGCTTCGCCACATAATACTGCCACCTTGAACTCACTCCAACAAGAGCAACAGGCCACGTATTGATTACATATACAAAAATCAACGTCGTAAATAACCACAACTTTCTCAAATTCCTTTCAGCATTCAGATCAGTCTCACTAATCTCCTCCAAGGATATAATCGATCGACCTGGCTATAGGGATGAGAATAAAAAAGCAACCCATGATATCTGCGATTGACCAGTCTAATTTATTATAAGGCATGGCAGCTTCCCATGGCAATATTGGATCTATATTAACCCAAACATAAAGTAGGATCATAATCATCAAAAACAGTTTTTCTTTTCCTTCTAAAAACGGTTTCCAGAAATACCACCCCCCCACTAATCAACACGAGCAAGGTGACCCAAAACACACCTCTGATAAGCTGAAGTACGAAAAACAGGACGTCTAATTCATGAGCACTACCCGTAACCTTGACATAATGTAGATCGGCCGCAACACATATAAAGTGAACAATACTAAAAACAAGCAACCCACCCATTAGTAAATGGGTCCTCTGAAAACATCGCCGGTTCTTGAAACATACTAAGATCCAAAACCCTAGAAAACTTAAATATATGAAGGATAAGATGATGTAAAGAAACGGGAGTTGTGTAAGCCCTGCTGACAAATAGTTTTTGGTAGTGCCCTCATCGATGTTGTAGAGCTCCATGCCACCATCCATGGTCACGAGGGATTCGTTGTTGCAGTTGAAGAAGAAGAATGACTTCATACCGGGATCTGTCACTGGGTACGTTTTGTTAAAGGAAGTCCGAGTATCGTAGGAAAGATTTTGGAAAGTAAAGAGGACTGATGAGTTTAATTTGAAATCCAAGTCGCAAATTGTAGTGTTTTGTTGGAATTTAAAGGGTTGTTCGTCTTCCGGTTTATGCGATTGAAAGAGGAAACCAATACGTGATGGATCAGGGGGTGATGATGAGGTGGAGGTGACTGTCACAGAGGAGAGAACAAAGGAGACGTAACCTACATTTGAAAATTCAAAATCGAAGAAAGGGATCATATGTCGGTTATCAGAATGGAGCTTCAGAGCTATGATATGAGCAGTGCATGGTGCAGTGAAGACGAAGAAGTACAAAACAGCAGTGAGAATTTTTTCTAAAATCCTCATTATGAGTGGTGGCTGAGGGTGGACGAAGGTGGTGATCTAGAAAAGTGAGAGTAGCAGGATGGGAAAGTAAAGCGTAGCAACCCTTTTTCGCGTGAAAACTATAAGATGTACTGTGTTAATGTTGATCCCTCCTCATTGATATGAAGCTTATTTATATAGAAAGGTTTCCAAATTCTAATATAACTAGGATACAATACTTGCCATATATAATTTATAATTAACTTGAATATCAAGAAACAATTACAAAACTTATGGCCTAAGTAAATATTTATCCGTGATAAAAACAATAACAGAATGAGAAAAATAGGGATAAAGATATGGAAGTTAAAATTTTGGAAAAATTACAATAGACGTGGGATAGACAACATGATTTCCATGAACATCAGAACATGACTATAAATAGTACAAAATCTATTACAAGGGGGTAAGTAATTTAAGATAGCCCTTGTTTTGTAATGCACGTGGGTATCATACATGGAAAAAAATAAAAAAATAAAAGGGAACTTAAGGAAAACATTGTCATTTAGGTCTCTAGAATGTCATCACCAAGTAAATAGAAAAACACGTAATTTCGGTTGGTACAGCTTATTTCCGACGGACGTATACCCGTCTGTCGTAAAAACCTCATGGGCAAATATCACCCATGAAATTCTGACGGAATTAATGACAAATTTCCGACAGACACATTTTGACCTTGTTTGACCACATTACCGACGGATTTCCGACAAACACTTTTAGCAACGAATTTTCAATGAACACTCTTAGGGACAGAGTTTTTTATTACCGTCGTTTGACATTGTTTGACCACTTCACCGACAGACTTCCGACAAGTTTGTTTTGTGACAATAGTTTCGCCACTAATCTGTCGGTAATTAAAATGTCTTTTTTAGTTATTAAAAATTAAAAAAGAATCCAACTTTTTGTCCGGAAAATATAGAAAAAACCAATACACTAAACATTTGATAATACATTAAACCTACAGTCCAACGCAACTAATTAAACATTATAATAATAAAATGGTCAAACACCTTACAATCTAGTGTCAAATACACTAGAAGCAAATGTCAAACACAATTACCAAGTTTCACAAACCTAAAACTAAGAAATATTTGATGGATTACTGGGTTGATTGTTTTGGGTATATTATCATTTGTGCTTTAAGTCATTTGTGCTACAAGTATGGATTGCTTTCTTTGAAATTATACTTCCAGTTGTGTTTGTATTTGTTGCATATTGTCACACCCCCAAACCAAGGCTGGCGGAAACGTCCGGGGTGGATGACTTCATGTATAGTATCACAACAACGAGTATAATAGTGCCCAAAGTGAATACAACCATCATAAATATAATTGAAAAAGTTATACAATAGTATGTGTTTACATGTTTCCAAACAATTACACTTATGATGACAAAAATGAAATGTTTGACGATTTAACGTCCCATCCTCAAAAGCGGTTGATTTCCTGTTTCACTGAATTCCTGAGAATACAAGTAGTTTTGAAAAGTGTCAACAATTAAGTTGGTGAGCTCATAAGAGTTTTGTTTGAGAAAGAAACCGTTTTCCTTGTAAAAGCGACAAAGTATGTTTCCAGAAAATTCAATATTTTCTTTATTAAGTAAAATGAATGCTTCTATGTTATGCGATAATGAACCCTATGTTATGCGATAATGAACCCTAGAAGTACCCATAGATTCCTTCTATAATCGCCCAATGTATATAAGTTATATAAAATTTCAGTTGAATAAACCGTTGAATATAATGGGTCTGCCCTAGGTCCACAACCAAACAAGGAACAGGAGATGAGGCGGACCCACCAATTCTACGTCGATTATGACTAGATTCTTATATAACTCTATCATATACACTTAACAATTGTGGCTAAAGTCTAACAATTTTAGCTTTATGTAGTTTTAATAGAAATATGTTCCAAAGAAAATCCTATATTTTCCTTATAAAAGTTAGGTAGTCCTAAATCCCAGTACCGAAAATAAACAAGTATTTTCCATACTTAAAGATATAAAAGCGATTTTAAATCGGCATAAAACCCTTTTTAAAGTTGGGTGGTCCTAAATCCTAGGACCGAAAACAAGTATTTTTCCATACTTAAATATATAAAAGCGATTTTAAATCGGCATAAAACCCTTTTTAAAGTTAGGTGGTCCTAAATCCCAGGACCGAAGACAAGTATTTTTCCATACTTAAAGATATTTCCTGTGAGTTAAATCGACATACCTCGCTAATTTAAAAGTAAGAACCCGTAAATCTTATGATTTGTTAATACCACATGTGAGTTATTATAACCATACTATGACTCAGACGGCCTCGTAATATGACGTTCTTCAGGCGTCGAAATCGAAATGACATTTGTCACCACAGACCTGCCGGTCTAGCTGTTGCAAGCAGCTCAGGTGCGGGCTTGTCAGACCCAATATAGATCTATACACAATTATCACGCTCTCCCTACAAGAGACTCTGGTTACAATTTACAGGACTTTTGACTTTGTTACTACGAAGGTAACACGAAGCGAATGTCTCACAAATTTATTCATTAACAGATTTACGTGAACTGAACTGAAAACCTTTGGTAAATGAGTTTGAAATGTAAATGATACATAAACTATACCTATTATAGTTTATCCTAAAACGTTTGTAATGTAAAAGAACTCTTTTATGAAAGTACATTAGTGCTATGAATCCATAAACTATGCTTATTATAGCTTATTATAGGTGTTCGAAGTGAATGAAGAATCTTATCATGAATGACTAAATTTCAGTTTATGATGATAAACTAACAAGAAAATACATTCAATATTTAGAACTTATTGTTATACACTTTGCTCAACATAATACAAAGTGTTATGGAAGTTATAAGCTGTTAACTAGTTTTTAACCTTTCTCCACTGCTTTAGAAAAAATCATACGAAGTCGAAAACTGAATCCGTAAATTCTGAGAGTTCATAAAATGTGTCTAGTTTATTCGTAAATTTTATTATGATTTTTGGAAGTCTTTAACTTGTGTTAAAATATTCATATTCACAGACTGGTCCGAATTCGTTTCTGAAATGATAGGCAGTTTTGTAAAAATCACCATAAATCGTAGAAAAATCGTATGGAGATGTGCAAGTAGTCATTTTAAAGGTATGAACCTGAACTATTTGCATATTACACAGTTTTGAAAGATATTAAGTTTAAGCTAGTCAAAACAGTCCGTGAATAAGACTTAAATTTTCTGATGAAAGCTGTTGTTTGACTTTGGTTAAGTTTTTGGTGTTTTAACTTGTATTCCCCCCCTAAAATTTGAAGAAAACTTGAAAATGTAGGGGTATGAACTCACCTTGAGTGATGACTTGAAGAGTGGAAGGTCGAAGACGAGGAGTATCAAGTCAAGACCACTTGATGAACACGTGAGAGTTTGGATGATCCTAAGATCGACTTTTGGTGTTAAGATATGAGTCAATGATCCAAGAGTGTTATGAAATTTATGGAATGACACTTGAGTTTAGATGGAATACTTACCAAAAAGTGTTGTAGCAACTCAAGAACACTTGCACAAGGTGGTGGAAAGTAGAGAGAAAGAAGCTTCCTTGAGATGATATGAGAAGTGTGAAAGTGAAGGATTTATCAAAGTGAACCAAGAAATCCTCCAGGGATTTCTTTATGTAAATGTTGCTGGAGCAACTTGCAAGATTGAATGGATGTTTACCTTGGTTTGTGTAATGTGGATAGGGTTGGACTATTGAGAGGATGACACATGGAAGGCAAGTGGGTACACTTGACCCACTTGTGGGGGTAAATATCTTCTTAATATAAACTAATGATTTTTAATTAATAAATACAAAAAAATAATTAAGATAAGAGTTCTGGGGTTTTAAAATGGTAAAATATTGATTTGGGTGAAAATCCCACGTTAAAATTATGAAAAACGGGCTTAAAACGAAGTCGTGGTCGAAAACCGGGTGAAAAAGGGGAAATCCGAAGTCAGGCTTGGTCACTGAAGTGGATCCGAAGGGAAGGAAGAACCGCGGTTCGGAGGCTGCGGTCGGCTTGGCTGTGGTCCGGCTGCGGCTAGGTGGCTGCGGTCTGCTGGGCTGCGGTCGGCTTGGCTGCGGTCCGGCTGCGGCTAGGTGGTTGCGGTCTTCAGTAGCCTTGGTCCTTAGTAGTCCCATTCCTTAGTCATTGCGGTCCGATGGCATGGCTACACAAGGGGACTCCGGTCCAAGTAAGGTTTGGTCCCTATAGAGGGACTCCGGTTCAAGTAGGGTTTGGCCCCTATAGAGGGACTCCGGCCCTAAAAGACTATTTTCCAAGGTATCTTCCCGTTTCGCATGGTTTTTCACCAAGTTAAGTGTCGGGATGCCCCAACTGATTACAAAAAGATCAAAAGAGGTTTTGAGAGAGATTTGGGAGAGATTTCACATACTTAGAGAGATTTGGGAGAGATTTCACATTCTTGGAGAGATTCCACATACTTAGAGAGATTTGGGAGAGATTCCACATACTTAGAGAGATTTGGGAGAGATTTCACATTCTTGGAGAGATTCCACATACTTAGAGAGATTTGGGAGAGATTTCACATACTTGGAGAGATTTCACATACTTAGAGAGATTTGGGAGAGATTTCACATTCTTGGAGAGATTTCACATACTTAGAGAGATTTGGGAGAGATTTCACATACTTGGAGAGATTTGGGAGAGATTTCACATACTTAGAGAGATTTGGGAGAGATTTCACATTCTTGGAGAGATTCCACATACTTAGAGAGATTTGGGAGAGATTCCACATACTTAGAGAGATTTGGGAGAGATTTCACATACTTAGAGAGATTTGGGAGAGATTTCACATACTTGGAGAGATTTGGGAGAGATTTCATATTCTTGGAGAGATTCCACATACTTAGAGAGATTTGGGAGAGATTCCACATACTTAGAGAGATTTGGGAGAGATTTCACATACTTGGAGAGATTTGGGAGAGATTTCACATTCTTGGCCTTTATTATT